TTTTTTTTTTTTTTTTTTTTTTCCCCTTCCCTGATATCGATCAGGGTCGCGCGTTTGACAAATATAAGTGGCAACGCCGTTGTTGTACGGGCTGTTAATTAAAGTTAGTGGTGGCGGTCAGTGATGACCAAGATGGCGGCGAACAACTTGGGAGCACATATTTCATTCGTCGGCGATTCGGTCGAAATGAAAGGCGGATAGAGAGAAAACAAGGAAATATGGAATTGAAGAATCTCTCTCTCTCTCCTCTCTCTCTTCCCTTTCGTTCCGCATTTTTATTAAAAAGTTCGAAGCGGTGAGATTATATTGCGGGACATAAAATATTCCGGCGCATGAATGCGTCAGAGAGATTAATAAAGAACTTTCTTCCATTGCTGCGTTTACAATATTCGTCGGCCAACGAGACGCGTGCACCTGAATTTTTCCATCCGAATTAATATATCAGAATCGTCGGAATCCATTATTCAGGCGGAAATACGTCGAATTTTTGCTCGAATTATTTTTACCGGGTAAATCTCACGGGTAATCGAAACGCCTCAAGGTACCGTTCGCGATATTTAACAAATAGTTTAGTTTCCGCGGAAGCTAACCTCAACATTCCTCCCACATGAAAATTCATTCGCCTATTTCGCCGGGATCGTTCGGGCAACAATACACAGCACACGCGTGCACACGCCGTTCGACGTTCCAATCTCGAATTATGCATTCGAGACAAAAACTCGCTTGCTGTTTAAAATTTCTAAACGCGGCCGGTCAAAACCACAATCCATTATTAAAACGTGACACAAATATCCGATTATAACACGCTTTATCAACTTTACAGAAAGAACAACGTGAAATCCACCAAATTGGGCAAATCGTTAATCGTTGGAGCTCGCTCGAGATCCCTTATTGATCACCCTCGATTCACTTTTTACATTACGCGATTGGACGAATTTTCCCACGACGAAGAGGAAATTCTCCTCGAAAGCATCGAGAAGCCGAAGATTGTTTGATCGAATTAATTTTTCTCGATGTAGGAGAAATTCGAAATTCTAATAATCGTATTTGGAAAATAACGCGGAAGCACCAGTATTGCCGAGACACAACGACATCGGCGAGGAGAAGACTGACGAGAAGGTGAGTTCACTTGAAAATCGTCTGGCACGCGAGCTCGATCGTCGCTTATCAGCGATCACGTAAAGCTCTTTATCGACACACCGATATCGTTTTCACTTACGATAAAACTGTGCGATCATCGAATTGGAATTTGAGAAACATCGCGGGAAAACCTGTCAGATTAAGACCCTTTACGAGAGTGACATTATGCCGGCCACCGTGGAAATCGTGACACGATGGATCGAGGCTATCGACTGATAAATTTTATCCTTGCATCTGGCGTTATCGCGGTTCTTAAGAAAATATTTCTCTTTGGAGAACGACACGCGTCGTTTTCGAATAATAGAGGAAACGTTAAAACTAGCAGTAATTTTCTTGCAGAAAAAATACGGGAAGATTTTCAAACTCGGCTTAACCCGTTTATTTTTATAATTTTTAAATTGAAACAAAACTTGTGGAATAAAATCGAGCAATAAAACTTGATATTGATAAGAAGCTCGACAAGATTTCTTTAAATCACTTTGAGACCGTTAACCTGAGAACATAATAACCTATCTAGCGACAATCTGTGATTCGAACTCGTTTCAAAAAAAGTTATAAAACTTTCCCCGCTAATTTTCAAAAAAAATAAATAAACAAATAAATTGCATTATCCAAGAAATTCTGGAGAACTGTCGACGGAGAAGAATACTGAATTTCCTATATAAAACTTGGGAAACTCGAGGAAAGGGAGGAGAGAGAATCGAAGAAAGAGCTCACCACCGAGTGGACGCTATTTCACATCCGACGGCCAGTGTCCGATCCAGCGTCGGTTCGATTTTCCTAGAGCAAGAACGGGCGAGAAAAGCAACACTAGATTCGAGGACGAGCAATGGATAGAAATGGATTCGGACGTTCCGATCGACGACGGAAGAATCGTAATCAATCCGTGGAACGTCCAACCGCGTATCGATTCGTGCATCCCGATGGCGTGTCAATATTCGAGCACGGTATTCACGTAAAATGATAATTTCGGGTTGTCCCTCGCCTCTCGAGAGAATTTCTCCGGAACGGAGAACCGCTCGAACACGGATCGGCGACACTTGCACGCGACGACTCGTTTTTTTTTTTTACCCCAAGAGGAACGACGTATCTCATCCGAGTTTCACTCGAATCCATCCAAGTATTATACTCTCGCCAAAGTATCTCTATTTTCGATCTCTGATTTCTTTCCGTTCCACCTATAAAATCGTTCTACAATTTTTCTTTAAAGGAATCGATCGAGTAAAATTATAAGGCGTTCAGGAAACGCGGGTATTCTCGTTCTCTTCGAGGATTTTCACCAAATTTTTTTCTCCCTCCCTCGCGCCAGGAGTCGAGAATAAAATTACACTTACGTAGGGAGAGAGGCCGATCCCTCGAGAGACACCCCTCGACCGTTACGATTTTGCCTACACACGACCCTGTGGCTCCACCTCGAGCATCCAAGTTGCTCAATTACAGCGAAGCCCGAGCTAAACAACAACAAAGTCCTATCCGAGGCCCTCGTTCAAATCGGCCGTGCACGAATCCTACTCGACACGTCCTCCTGTTCCCGCTTTCCAACCCGATTTAACCCGATCCGATGGGCCACTTTCACGAAATTCTATCGAGCACATCCTCTCCTCTGCTCTACTCTATTACCCCTCGATAAAAGTATTTTCTTAAGATTCAAAACCGGGTTGCATTTCCCGACACCGTTTGGAAAACTTATCTCGAGCATCGATCTCTTCGAATTGGTCGCGAGATGGAGACTGGATCCATCTACCGACGGACGAGATTTCGGATTTCTCGAGTTCACGCGTGGCCTGATAATTGGCGAAACAACACTTGATATCGACGATCGTTGACGCGTGATCCACGTACAATCGTTTCAATTCACCTAAGGATAAGGTGGAAAAGATTTGAACCATCATCGAGCCACTTTTTCTATCGTCGATGGTTTGGTTTATAACGATCATAATACGAAGAGACGACACGAAGCTTATCATAAGCGATTACGAATCACAAATATAAATATAAATATATATATATACACACTCGTTATCATTTTCCAATGATCGATACCTGCCATCATAACAATTATACGAGCAACAAGAAGCGACACCTATGCTGTATTACAAGGAAGAAGGAATCGCACGTTAGTCAAATAAAAAGTAATTTAGAAACTTTCCAAGTATCAATCACTTCCCTATATCAATTCCCCTAACAATTACAGAAGCAAGGAGGTTACATCTATCAACGGCCGGTTCACATATTACTCGGGTAAGGAACGAAGTTACCGAGATAAAGAGAGAGGAAGAGGAAGAGAGAGAAACTCGAAATCACTTTCCTACCATTCGACACCTATGTACCGCGCGCCTACGTCTCGACCCGAGAAATATTCGATCCCTTATATCCCAAAGATCGTATAATCATCGATCACGTACCCTTGGCTGCGCCATGAACGCCCTGGCCGCGCCGGGGAACTCTGCGTGCTGAGCCACCGTAGCGGCTGTATTTTCCCACAGTATAAGCAAGTAACCTCGAACACTTCACACACACTGGTTTCCCCACTTTTCGATCCGCCTTATCGCGGCGATCGGTTTGCCCGTTTCCGTTTCTTTCGTCACACTCAGAGGACTCGCGGATTATTTCCTTTCGCCGAATATCACGGAGGATAAATCCACAAGGGGGGACGAGACGGATGCCGTCGGTGGCCGAACGTCCGTGTTCCAGTTCACACTTTTCCTTTTTCTTTTTCTTCCAGAAATTTTTTCCACGATATATTTATTTGTATTTGTATCTTATTATACCCTTTCTCCTTCGTCGAGGGATATTAACTTTAAGGTTGAACGAATCGAGTTCCCGACACAGTCCCGACGGTCCCCTGCACCTCGATCGTTCCGCCACACTACTTCTGACGCTACGCGGATGGCTGCTCCGTCGGGTCCTTCGACGATCCCCGGATCCGAGTCGACCGGCGACACGCTGTTCGACGACGAGAAATCGAAGCGAGCGTCAGCACAGCTTGGCTCGCGCGGTTGAACGCTGCAGCAGGACCACGGCTACGGCCGGACACACGTGCTTCCTCATCGTCACACCGGCGGAAGTTCCGCTGTACGGACACCACCCAGAGAGCGTGCCTCTCCGTAACGTCAGTCTCGCGACATTATATATCGCTCGATTTCCTTTCCTATCCCTCCACTTCGTCGATCGTATCTCTTTCCGTTTTAATTCTTTCCTCCGATTTTTTTCCGTTTCCTTTTTCCCCCGATCAGTTTCTCGAACTAATCTCTTCAAACTCGTCTTTCCAGGGTAACGTGATCTCTCTCGGTTGATAAGGCATTAAAAATGTAAATATACGAAAAATTGTAAGGGGGGAGGGGACGGGTTTCCCGACGGATAAGAGAAATCACGAAAATCACGAGATGATTTTGTTTCTTTTGTTTTACGATTCGTCACCAAGAGATATATGTATACGTGTGTATGTATTTATCACACACGATCTTCGGTTATCACGGATACTATGATGCGCGTAGTATGATGTCCACTGTGGGTATCGGGTCCACGGGTGTATCGGGTTTAGCCGTCGGAGAAGAGAGATCTGAGGATGCACTGGATTATGTTATTTCACAGTAATAAACGGCACGGATAAACACCGGAAATATATGCGTATGTACGTCACTGTGGAGGACACGTTTATATCCTTCGATACAACACCGTCGATCATTGGCGCGAATTCAAGGCGTTGTTGCAGTTTCGGGTAGATGCACTGGTGATGAGAAATCGATAAAATGGAGCACAAATGGATGGCGTTACTCGCGTGGACGAGGATCGCGCGCGTGATACACTGCGTGGCTTCGAAAGAACTTGGACGCGAGACACAACCGATATCTCGACGATGCTTTCAACAATTCGATGATCTCTCGATGAGAAGAGAACGGAGAAATAAAACGCGAGGTTCTCGTGCGTCGGGAAATTGCGTCAAAGTCCACTGTTGTTAAATCCGAAAATTCGTAGAATCGAAGATTCGTTCGTGGTCGCGTGTTCGCGCGACACGAACGAAAACTCAAGCCTCGAAAGTAGCTTCGATGTGTGTTCCACGATTTATCTCTTGTTTTCCTTTTCAATGTCGTCCCGTAGCGCGCCAAACAGATCTCCGTGGTTTACCGTTTAAATATACGACGATATAACAACACGATAGACACAACCGAGTTCAATTCGTATTTACCGATGATTCTCCACGCGACGAATGTGGAAAAGCGGTCGGATATCGCGTCGTAGACGGAGTCCGCGGCGGAAGAAGAAGCGCGTTCCTCCTCGCGGCGATTACTGAACGAACGAACCGGTCACGCAGAGGAGTGAGAGAAGAGGTGACGCGCGAGAGAGCTGTCCGCGAGACGGCGGCCGACCCTCCTCCCTAACCGTAACTACTACTGCGTGTGCCACTCGTAACTCCGGCGGACAGAAGGTGGAAGGTTGGTGTATATGTTGCGCGCGGGCCGGCGGGCAAAGGCAGCCACGGGAATATGCGTGTTTCGAGTTCTTCCCCCACGAAAAAGCACCGGGTACATCCACGGGTAAGAGAAGAGCGGAGCGAGCGAGCGTGGAGAGCAGCGCCTAGCGCGGTTTTAGATCCTGCGCCGTCCGCAGTCGTTCGCCAACTGTCAATCAGCGCCGCGCTACGCCAAGGAGTGGGAGGCGCGCAGTCACGCCCACCGAGCGCGGCCAATGCGTCCCCTGGCGCCGCCTACATCCCCACCACAGCGCCCCGCCCGCAGCGCCGCGCCGGCGAGACCGCGAACCCCGGGATTCTCCGCCATCGCTACACCACTACCAACGAGACCGCCGACGGACGACGACGAACGAGACCGACGAACACACGAGGACGAGCACGGCATCGTCGAGAATGCCTTGTTTCTTCGATTCCTACGTCTGGGTAAAGAGGAAATCCAGAATCGGTTCGACTCGACTTTCTACCACGCTCTCTGCTCCACGTCCAAGTTTCTATCTTTACCTAGGCGGATTCTCGTTACGCGTTCGATGTGAACCTCTAGGACGGAACGAACGAAACGAACGATCGTATCGTTTTTCACTCGTGCCGGTGAAACCGACTACACAAGTGATAATTTTCCGTACCTCTTCGCGGTTTCGTTTTTAGAAATTGACCATTTACAACCCATGCAACGGTGCGCTTTTCAGAAGAAGAAACGTTTCTTCGACCTCGTATGATCTAACGACGAAAGTGTCGTGATGGATGATGGTATCGATCGAACTGTTCGAATCATGCAGTTTCGTTAAATACCTTCTTAAAAGTTACGGTATATTCCCATCGTGAAAGTCGAAGATCATTCGAAATTTTTCACGCGTGTTTGCCAAGGAGTGGAAAAACTCTGCGTATCGCGCCAGAAATAGTAAAATAGACGCGAGGTTCGCGCTTCTTGGCAAGAAGTTTCGTCGCTCTTGCTCGACGTCTTAAATAACGCAGTCGATGATCCTGACAAATAACGATGCTCGGTTAAATTCCGGCCGTCGGACAGACCCGTTGGAACGTGCTCGAAGACCCGACCAATTTATAGAATCGTATCGACGTTGTCATTCTCGACTCGTTGCCATATTTCATCGCTCGGCCAAAGGGGTGTTATACACAGGAGGGCAATCGGGGGTGGGAAAACACTCGACCGGCGTTAAACATCGTTTCGTTTTATCGCCACTTCTTTTTTCCTCTCCTATTCCTTTTTCCCTCTCTCGCTCTTCCCCTTCCCCCTCTCTTCCTTTTTCCTTTTTCCACCAGCTCCCTTTTTTTTTTCTTTTCTTTCTTTCTTTCCTTTTTTTTTCTTTTTTTTTTTTTTTTTTTCGTTTGTTATTTCCCCGGTTATTAATTCAACGCGTCTGGTCGCGGGACGGCCAGCCGGCGGCGGCGGTCGATCGAGCTTTGAATGAACCGAACGAACAGCTGACTCCACGCAGGAATTGGGTCGCGAACGTGCGGTTTCGAACTTTGAATGGTATTCGGCGTTGGGTGAGTAATAGCGACAGGAGGCGGCGGAGGCGGAGGAGGGCAGAGAGGCGGCTGTCACCGACATCACTCAGTGTCTCCCTCCTGGCGTTCACTTCGCTCGATTTTATGACTCTCTCTCATCCCGCGCGGCACACTTCCACCCCCCAGACCCCTACGGCTCTCTGCCCCCGTTGCGTTTCGCGACAGTGGCGCGTACACAAGCGTCCCTATCGCGTTTGCATAATGTCGCGAATCGACGTGTATCCCTTTTCATCCTCCTCCTCCTTCTTCTCCACCCCCACGTTCTTCTGATTTCTCTCCTCTCGCTGATGATTTTTCTTTCTTTCTCTTTTTTTTTCCTCTTCCTTTTTTTCACTTTTTCTACGTTTCGATCTTCGGATCGTCTTTTTTTTTCCTTCTCGATCGAGGAGAGGAGAGAAGACTGGAGGTCGAAGGATGCCGTCACCGGCGAAATATGAAAGGACCAGGGCCGCGAATCTGGTTAATATTCGACCGGATTAAAGGATGGGCCAGACGTCGTTGCGTTTAATCCTCGCGCTTCTCGCTTCTCTCCTCTTCGTTGTTTTCTCCTCTTTCTTCTTCTTTTTTTCTTTCCTCCTTTTTCTTCTTTTTTTCTTTTTTTTTTTTTTTCTTTTATGAATATAATATTCGACGTGGGATTCTTAGCAAAGGTTTATTAATATTTCGAGATATTCGACGTGATGACCGATTCGAAGGATATAATCGGTTGCTTTATAATCGCAAAAATTGTATCTCCAAGAAGGTTAAACGGGCATGTATATACATATATATATATATAGGATGGATGAAAATATTTTCGGCCGACGATGAAAGCGGAGAGTCGGTTAACGTTTCGTTTTTGTCCTCGCGATACGCATCGGCGGATTTTTCGCGCGGTGGTTTATTCAAATTACAGCGCGACCTCGATTATCCGACCGAAATGGCGGACACTTTGTTCGGATAATTGAACGTGATTACGTTTTAACGAAGCGAGGAACGATCATCCGTTGCATTAATAAACCAGCGCGACGAGCAAAAACTGGTCCATCGCTTTTATCCAAAAAGCTGTTAGCTTTTCGACTATTTTTCCTCTCCAAACCTGATTACTCGTTGTTTCATGATCAATTAATTATCGCGTGTTAATACGCGCGATAATATTTTTTTCTTTTCGTTCGTACTGTCACATTACGGCCGGCAAAATGACTAAACTTTTGTGCGAGTTATATTATATAGGCCATCGAGTTTGCGCGAATTTTATGAAAGAGATGAAAGACGAACGAAGATCAAAGGGATAAGAAAGAGAAAAGTCTGTCGATAAATATGAAGAAATTGGATTAAATTGATTCTTAAACGCCGTGTATTCTTAATCCAAACGAGTGTACGCTTCTGGAAAATGGGATAATTACACGTTTCGTGCAGGAGAGACGACTATTCATTTAACCGGGCCCCAAGCTTTCGATTTATAAATTCGGTTTAAAAGTCAGCATTAGATAATTGTAATCTTCCTTCGCAGGTATACATTTGTTATTAAGTCAACGCCTAATCCTATTAGGGATAAGTAACATTTGTATTGTAAATTACTTTTCGCTTCGTTCCCAATATTTTATTCCCAAATTTTACTTCCAACCTAGGCCCAATATAAATTTCTCTCGAAATACAATAAAAATATCTGCTTTCGTTTATGACTTTGAAACTAGAATGATATTACAGGTTCGTACAGTGGTCAAATTG